TTTTCTTGTTAGTGGCCAGGCTTTGGCTTTTCTAGTTACTGGGAAGAATGCCTCAGACAGAGTAAGAATCATGATTTCATTTACATTTCAAACTTTCAGCTTAAAATTTTTGTATACATTATACAAAGGAACTTCAAATACATGTCCAAAAACATATTAGGAAGTCTCCTCAAATTGACATCTGTAGAATATTTGCTGAATGACATCTTAAAATTAACTATAAACACATCCATAAGCTTTACAAATACAGAAAATATTTTAGGTTTACACACAGCTTCCAAGATAGACACTAGAATTCTCTTCAAAAATGTTAATCTGAAGCTTTATAAAAGTCTCTGTGTGTCTTAGGCACTTAAAATATCTGTCATTTCTATGGCCTGAACCAAAACTCCAGCTACAGCAGCTTCTTCACTATTTGAAGGGAGACTTGTCAAGGTCCAAATTTTATAGGCCGAGGTCCCTTTCTGTTAAATCCTTGAGAACTTGTCCTTTTCAAGGGTTCACTGTGCAGAAACGTTGGTCTGTTTTACTCTTGGTACTTAAAAATATATATTTCATACTTGAACAGACTAAATATGAGAAACAGAGCGAGACGCAAAAGATTACAAAAACAAGGATCTTATGATCTCATTCCTGCCGCAATCAAGATTTCCTCAAAACACAAACTTAAAGAGAGCACTTCCCCTACTGTCCCACAAAAATTCCAGTCAAACTATACTAACGTAATATAATACATGAAGATACTGGAAAACCCCACTTATAAAACATATCATATGACACTGTAAAACAATGTGCTGTTAGATATGTTTTGTAAGAGGCAGATAGTCATATGATACTAAATATAATCAGTGCAATCTAACCCAGTGCAATCTAACCCAGCACTTAGGTATGGAGAAGAGTTGAATATGTATGGAGACTCTAACAGGCTATAATATGTGCATTGAAAAAAGTCAATTATGATGAAAAATGAGAGTTTCAAGGATGACAAATATGATTTTTTTGTAAAGAACAGGCAATTGGCATTTCATATGTAAGTGTGATAATAAACCAGAATAAGGTTAATAGCTTATATAACTATAACAGAAGCTCTGAAGACAAGCAGTAATAAGACACTGCTTTGACTCTGTTTAACTACCTAACATTCATGTCTATAAAAACAGCTTCCAAGACCTGTTTTTGCTGGACTGGATTCAGTTAGTGCTCTTGTCATCCCATGGGATCAAGTACTTGGAATTGTCTGTGAATGCTTTGTCTAAATGATGTATCTATCTTTGTCTAAAATGTAACTACATTCTTATGAAATACAACTCAAAATGAAAATAATTCAAATATTTAACCTAATTGGACAGCCTGATGATTTATTGATGATTTCCTGTCCTTCCTGATCACTCTCCAGTAAAATGTATTAGTGTCCTTTAGAGGAGACTTGGCAGGTTAAAAATCACATTAAAAAAAAAGGGGGGGGGGAAATTAGCTATATTATAGATACAACTTAAAGTATTAAACCTCAAGACACTGTACAAAATAAAATTTGCTCGGCACCTTTTATGCTGTTTCAGGACTGACTCAGTGAAGCACAACAAGTAAGTGCACATTTCCCACCAGGTGTACTGCTTGCTACTGTGAAAAGTCCCACAATACCCTCTAGGTAGTCAAGTCCTGATCCTGCAATGAGCTCCACATAGGAAGACTCCTAGAGAGAGCCCCTCAAGGTCCACCCACACCGAGCTCATTGCAGGATCAAGGTCTTAAGTATTTGCAGGAGGGGATTTTCAATCTGTTCAATGAAAACTAACTAGTCAGTTTCATGTTTTTCTTATCAATTTCACTTTCTGGTTGGCTAGTATTGTAGTGTGATGCCTGAATTGCAAACACTACAGGGAAATGTTCACATCCAATCAAAAAAGACAATGAAAATATTTATGATGTTAAGGCAATTTATTTTACTTTTGCCATCTCAACAACAAATACATAACAGCACTGATATAATCCCATAAATCTCATATTGTATACACATATACTATGTGTCTAAAATACAGAAACAAAAACTGAAGTTTAATGTACACATTAGTTTCACAGTCACCTTCCTAAAATTCTTTTCCAAAAACCAGACAACTATCTTACAATTATGGATGTGAAGAAATTATGAGCGTTATCAAAATATTCCATTTTGTATTTGATTTTATCTAGTTAAACAGTATTTTTAAGAAACCTAGATAAAAACCCAAATACAGTTGAAATATTTTGGAAATTTTATTGTAATTTCTACACTGTCCTAAATGTAAGAGGTATGTGTTTTGTTGTGGTTGGTGGTTTTTTGTTTTCCTCTAATTCTGGTAAGAAATTTTAGGAAAACAAACATGAAACCAATGTGTTTTGTATTTTTATTTTTGCCCTGTTTGTATGCATTTCCATTTTTTGACAAACATTATATGTATATGCAACAGGATTTTAAGGTAAGGTAGATACATTATTTAGAGTATTGTGAGGTCCTCTATGCATTTGGTGTTTTCTAAACCCAGGGGAAGATATAATCCATGCCCCAAAAAGCATACATTTTACAAAGACAGATGTGGGAATGGGAATGGGATACAACATAGAAGCAAAGTGATGATAGCTATTGTTTACTTGGGTTGGGGTTTTTTTGCAGGCTGAGGAAGAGATGAATTTGAGGGTACAGGGTACAGAAACACTTGCTTTTTATTCCCAGTAGGTTTTCAAAATTCCATTTAAAAAAAAAATTCAGTGAAGGATAATGTTTTCAATATACTGCAGACATCCCTTCCAGATGCCTGACTAGGACTTCAGAATGACCAAACAGACTGGGCCCCAGAGAATTCACCCAGATTAGACATTAAGCCAGGACAGTACCGGTAATATAATTAGCTTGTTCAAATACAGACGCAGAACAGACTTGATCAAAGCTCAATTTGTGTACCTCACTTGAGTCTCAGGCCCTTATTCAGCAAAGACTTTATTAAGACTCAGGTGGTCCCTTACTTTAACAAGCAGTCCCAGTAACTAGAGAGATAACGCTATAGAAGAGAATGAAGATACAAACTGGAATGCATATAAGGTACACATATTGAAAGATTTCTGTGACTACTCACTTAGACACCAGTCAACTGAAACATTTAAATTAAAGAAAAATCTGTTAACTAAATTGCATTATAAAATCACTATAAAACAACCACGGAAAAGTTAGAACTGTTTAAGGTTTTGTGGCCAACCACGTCCTCTAGAAATAAAACTTTAAGACATAGCAAGAATTCAAACATTTTTGTTTTTTGGGCTAAGTAGATATCACCTAATTAAAAGATAATCAGTAATATATTCAACAGCTAATTTAGGTATTACTCATTTGGTCCTTGTCCAGATAGTATCCCTTTAAAAAAGAACGATCAAGCTAAGGAAACAATTTGATAAAGTAAAACCAAGACTAATAAGTTGGAATAAATTCAACCAGCATTATTATAAGATGGCTAACCTCAGGCACACACAAAAGCTGAACGAGTCCAAATGAAACTGCTAGTTATGCTTCTGTTATAGTTTTGTGTCTATGGCAACACCAAATCATCAACTGAACTTCACTACTAAAGCACTCAGAGGTAGGGGTGGGGAAGACAGGGAGATTTACAAATACAAGTTGTAATATATAAAAATGAAAGAGTCATTAAGCAGAACTTTTTTTTAAATACCAACAATGTTGTAATAAGTCTTTGACTCTGTTCCTCCTGCCATTTTGAGCCGACTTCCTGTATTCATCTGCCTTATCAACCCACTGTCATTTCTCAAAGTTCATTTAAAAAATTCTCCCCTTGCCGACGCCATTTAATGTCCATTTCCCAATTATATTATTAAAAACTCTGTAAATAATTTGACAATGTTTGTCAGAATGATTCCATATAAGTTAAGCTTACTACATTTTATTATTATTGTTCATGCTGTCAATTTTGCACATAAAGAACTTCACTGCAAGAGCAATGATTTATTTGCTGTAACAGAATAAATACCTTGGGTACAGTGAATGTGCTGTGAGAAATTTTGTATAGCCAATGTCGGAAACCTCTACTCACTGCCACCATTACAAAGGGACAAGTACCAGATCAACCTAAATAGTGTCAGCAGCTTTCTACTACCATGTAAGAATCCAGGCTCTATTACTGCCAAATGGGTAGGTGTTGCTGAGACTGCAGATTATGAATCTATACTTGAGCTACAACAGTTACAGGTAAAACCTGATTTTAGGAAAATCTCAAGGAACACCTCAAGCCTTCACGAAAAGGCAAGGTTTCATACTATGACTTTCAGATACACCATCAGACCTGAGTTTTGGAAAACAAGGAATTTGGGATTTTTGAGGTGCAAAACAACAACTACCAACCTAAGCATTTACCTGTTTACAGCAGAATTAGACTGCTACAAGATGGCAAGGATCCCTTTTCACTTAGAAATGGCTGACACACTGTTTTTGTATTAATTTAGCTATATCAGTTGTTACACTGACATAATTAAATCAATGCAACCCCTTACTTTGGACATCCACACTAGATTGTAGTACTGATTTACCTAAATCAATTTCTAAATAACCAATACAGCTAAATAGGTATATAAACAGTGTGTGCAGACCAGACCTTAGGAACCAGACAATTGAATTTTGTTCTATAGTGAGGTGTCTGAAGCTTGCCCAATTGATGGAGTTGTATTGGCAAATGCAGAAGCCTGAAGGCTGTACTGTACCTTTATTGCAGAAACAGTTAGTAGAGCCCAAAGATCTGAATAAGCAACATGGACTGGCATCTCTGGTTAAAATGAGGCACTTAATGTGAGGACTTCTAGTCTCTGTAGCCTTTTCTGCTGCATGACAAAGTCAGGCAGCCTCAGGTTACATCATAGATTGCACTTTGTTCACCTCTACTCTAGATGGTATCATAATTCTAAACACATGTATTTTGAAAAATCCACTACAAAATAAAACAAACATACTTTGTGTTTTTCAGATTGAAAAAGCTGATTGACCAAGAAACAGCCTATCAGGCAAAAAAAGAGAAGGAAAACAACGAGAAAATAACTAAATTGAAAGAAGAACTGACAAAACTGAAATCATTTGCTTTAATGGTGGTGGATGAACAGCAAAGACTTACAGAACAGTTGAACCAACAAAGTCAAAAAATCCAAGAGCTAATCACTACTGCAGAGCAAGTACACGAGAAACTCACCATCGCTGAAGCAAAAGCAGAAGAAGAGAAGCAGAAAGCCATCAGGCTGGAAGCAGAATTGCAAGCGCAAACCAATAAGATTTCCCAAGAACAAGAAACAATGATGGCCAAACTAACCAATGAAGACAGCCAGAATCGCCAGCTCCGGATAAAATTAACAGCACTCACTCGACAAATTGATGAATTAGAGGAGACTAATAAGTCTTTACGAAAAGCAGAGGAAGAACTGCAAGACATAAGGGAAAAAATTAATAAAGGAGAATGTGGAAATTCCACTCTTATGTCTGAAGTAGAAGAATTACGGAAACGTGTCCTGGAAATGGAAGGTAAAGATGAAGAGCTCATAAAAATGGAAGATCAGTGTAGAGCGCTTAATAAAAAATTAGAAAAAGAAGCAGAACAAAACAAGAACTTTAAAGCAGAAGTTGACAAACTCAACAAAAGAATTATGGAGCTGGAGAAATTAGAAGATGCTTTCAACAAGAGCAAACAAGAATGTTACGCTCTGAAATGCAATCTAGAAAAAGAAAAAATGTTAACAAAGCAATTGTCTCAGGAATTGGAAGGCTTAAAAGCTAGAATTGGAGAGCTTGAAGCCATTGAAATCAAGTTAGAAAAAACAGAATTCACACTCAAGGAAGATTTAACTAAACTGAAAACATTAACGGTCATGCTTGTGGATGAAAGAAAGACAATGAGTGAAAAAATAAAGCAAACAGAAGAAAAGTTACAATCTACAACTTCCCAACTTGAGGTGGAGCAAAAGAAAGTGATGTCAGTTACAGAAAAACTAATTGAGGAAAGTAAAAAGGCACTGAAATCAAAATCTGATGCAGAGGAAAAAATGTCCAGTGTAACAAAGGAAAGGGATGAACTGAAAAAAAAACTAAAAGCAGAGGAAGAGAAAGGAAATGATCTCTTTTCCAAGGTAAATATTCTAAGGAAAAGGCTTCAGTCACTAGAAGTCACTGAAAAAGAGTTTCTTAAAAATAAACTCAAAGAGACAACTAAATCAAGCACATCCTTACAGCAGGAGAACAACAAGATTAAAGAACTTGCCCAAGAAGTTGAGAGGCTGAAAAATAAGCTGAAAGAAATGAAGGCCATAGAGGATGATCTCATGAAAACTGAAGATGAATTTGAGTCTCTAGAGCGAAGATACATCAATGAACGAGACAAAGCTAAATTTCTATCAGAAGAACTGGAGGTTGTAAAAATGGAACTGGCTAGGTATAAATTAGTAGAGAAGGCCGAGTCCAACCAAGAACAGTGGCTTTTCAAAAAACTTAAAGAAGAAGCAGCAAAGTCAGGGCACCTGTCTAGAGAGGTAGATGCATTGAAAGAGAAAATTCACGAGTACATGGCAACAGAAGACCTAATATGTCATCTGCGGGGTGACCATATGGTCCTACAGAAGAAACTCACCCAGCAAGAAAACAAAAACAGGGAGTTAGCAAGAGAAATGGATAGCCTTACCAAAGAATTAGAGAGATACAGACGCTTCAGTAAGAGCCTTAGACCGAGTCTTAATGGAAGGAGAATTTCTGACTTGCAGGTTTTCTCTAAAGAAGTCCAGACAGATCCAGCAGACAATGAACCACCTGATTACAAGAGCCTTGTTCCTTTAGAACGAGCAGTCATAAATGGGCAATTGTATGAAGAGAGTGATAATGAAGACGAAAACAATGATGAGGAGCAAACAGTGTCTTTCAAATGCAATTCATCCGTTGCAAATGCAGTAAACAAAAAGTTATGGATCCCATGGATGAAGTCCAAAGAAAGCCATCCTCAAAATGGAAAAATTCATGACAAACAGAATGGAAATTGTGCACAGCCACGAGACTTAGTTCTAAGTCATACACCTGGTCAGCCTCTTCATATAAAGGTTACACCAGACCATGGACAAAACACAGCTACCCTTGAAATAACAAGCCCTACTACAGACAGTCCTCACTCTTACACTAGTACAGCAGTTATACCCAACTGTGGCACACCAAAGCAAAGAATAACCATTATTCAAAATGCCTCTTTAACACCTTTAAAATCAAAAATAGCTGATGGTTACATGAGTCCAGAGCAAGCCGTGCCACCTATCACATTGGCTACTTTTGCAAGATCTCAAACTCCTGAATCATGTGGCTCAATAACTCCAGAAAGGACAATGTCTCCGTTGGCTCTGACAGGTTCTTCAAGTTCTCCGGAACAAATGCTTTCTCCAGAGCCTTTGGAAATTGGTGCCAAGCATACTCTTTTTAGAGTATCCCCAGACAGGCAATCGTCATGGCACTTTCAAAGATCTAACAGCACTGGTTCAAGTGTAATAACTACTGAGGATAATAAAATCCATATTCATTTAGGAAGTCCTTATGTTCAGGCTCTTGCTAATTCAGCAAAACCTTGTACTCCAATTCAGGATAACAGAACTCCAGCACTAACTAATGGAACACCCAGTAAGCCTACTAGTAAAATCACAAGCAGTATCACAATCACACCAACAGCCACTCCTCTCCCACGGCAATCACAAATTACAGTAAGTAATGTCTATAACTGATCCCCATTCATGCTGACTCCTTTACCAGCAACCCATCCTATTTTTCATCCCAGCAAGAATAATTTGGAAACCCCCCCTTTATGTTGGGAGAGATCTGTGCATGAACTGTACAATGCTATTTGGAACTAACATTAAGTTTTGCTTGCTTAGTCATATCAAGTGTGCACTTACTGTATATCTTTTCACTGAAATATCTTGATGTAAAATATTTAGTCTTCCACTTGTATAAATGCATCTTTATGTATTTCCATTTTCCATAACTCACATTACTTTTGATTGCAAGGTGTATTGGTGAAATATTTTAACATTACAAAACAGTAAATAATTGGTTGTTTTTACCATTGCTTGCAGAATTATTTGTTCTTTTGGTGTGTGTGTGTGTGTGTGTGTGTGTGCGTGCATTTTGTATTTTTGCATGTATGACAGACTTTTATTTTAATCCTTGAAATGCCTGCTAAATACAGATAAGAACTATTTCATTACCTTTCTTCTATTCCCCAATTTTTCCTAGCCTTATTACTCAAATTATTATTTTTAGATCAAACACACACAAAATCACATGTACAGTACCAATTTTAAGTTCATGATGCATAAATCACATGTTTTGGGGCATGTCAATCACTGGGGATTTTGAGAGTGTGGATTTTTTTAAACACTTTGTCATTCTGTTAAAACTCAATCTGTTTCCTCCTTCAAATCTTTCCTTTGTGATTGGGTTGAGTTGAGAAGTTTATATCACAGAAATATTTTCTTTTTCCGTAAGGTAAGCTCTTACTCTACATTAAAAATACTAACATTTAAAGACCTTGTAAGAATGTGAACAGCAACATTTACATTTTAAAAAGACCAACCAGAAGAATGGCTCTACAGCATAATTTTATTATTCAAAGTAGGAGGGAAGGAGGCAGCTGGGTTGGAACCCAGATTACAGTCCATCATTCTACATATTAGTTAGGCACAGTGAAGAAAAGAAAGCAAAATGAATGATAGGACACCTTATAGTTTCTGAAATGATAAAATAGGTTGGTTACAAAAAATGAGAATACTATAGTCCAGCTATTTGAATTTATACATCCCTCCAGACACAGTACAGACACTAATAATACAATTCCGCTATTTAGACAAAACTGTGTCACACACCACAGCGATGGACGCTATATTAGTGCATATAATAATAAATAATGACAATAGTATAAGCAATGCTGGCCTCAATTTGTCTGTATACCAAGAGTAAGAAGCAATCAATGCTAACCTCTTGGAGAACATTACATACAGTGACACCAGAGCTTCATTTTGAATTATTTATAAGGCCGAAAGGTCTCGAATTCACTTCCCCAAATCCTCTCTTTCTCTAAATAAAGAGCTACTACTGAAATTCACTCTTTTAAAAACAGCTTTTTAAAAAGTTAAACATCAATTTTAATTATGCATTTAGAAAACAAATCTTTTCACCACTTTGCTAATCATCATAAAGAGATTTGTGCACAAATAGAAGCTCTCTACTTCAGACATCACAGCTCAAGATGAACTGGGCAGAATAAAGATAATCTTTTCCATGATTATGAACTGTGATATTAATTGTCCTTCAACACTGATTCAGCAAAGGACTTTAAGCACGTGCTAAAGCTGAATGGGGAGCTAATGATTATGACAGAAGACAATGGCTGATTGTAAAAGGAAAAGTTTCTATTTAGAAAACACAAAAATTTATCTTGATAATCAGCAATGATGGAAAAAGAAATAAAAGTAAGGTCCATGGGAGTTTCAATTAAATCATTTTTTTAAGAAGTGCACCAGAGTATTGCAACAGCATTTTTTAAAAGATTTAAACTATACAAGATAGTGTGAGCCCAACCCAATCTCGCTTACAGCCTGATCCAAAGTGGGCTTTGGATTAAGCCCTTTGCTCCTGTTTTACATCCATTTAACTCCAATTACTTCAGAAGCTGAATTGAGTGGAACCAGAATCAGGCTCAGCATGTGATGTTCCTTAAGGTTCTTATCCTGCAAGGTGCTTATTGACTTCAGCATCCACTGACTTCAATGGGAGTTACTTATCACTAGGTGTTCAGCATCTTGTAGAATCAAGACCGAAAGGAGCATAATCTTATATGACGGTAATAACATACCCTTTATTACATTTGGCTTTAGCATTCTTTTCTGCAGTGCCAATCCAAAATGGACATTAGATCTCTACGTAACTAATTTTCAACATACACTGTTAAGATCCTGTAGGTATGCACATTTCACAACAGTGCATAACTCTGCAGTAATCACCAATCTTCTGTTAGCAGACATTTGAAAATACTGAAAATGCCAGAGTCCTTTAAAAAAAATCCTATTACTGTCCTCATACATTTAGCGTTACATTTTGTTTTTATTTTAAAATTATGTAGAAAACAAAATATTCTGGTTTGCATCTGCAATCTAACCAGATGCACAGAAATTAGTTGATTAACAACAACTAGGCAGTAATCTGTTACAATGTCTTTCAAAAAAAACTAACTATACAGCAAGAATTAGATTTAGTCATTTCTTGTCCTTTGGACAGTTGCCCTGTTCTTCTGAACAAGAGTTCTATGTTAAGTGAATTAAAAGACCTAGACCAGAGATCACACCATTAAAAAGTTTAATTATTCAACAGGATAGTGCTTATTCTGCCTTGTTCATTTTTTACTAAGAGACTATTTTCACTACAGGAAAATATTTTTTAATTAACAAAAGCCAAAGGAAACAGCCATAGGATATTACTATTCACAGAAAAGTTGCATCAAACTTGCCTGTGAGCATCTTTGTCACATTTCCCATAACAGTATACCTTTTGATTAAGATCAACAGATATGCCCTCTGTCAAAGAGACTAAACATATCATACTTGCAGGGTCATGGACTCCGAGATGTATTTATTTTTGCCATTGACTTACACAGGAGCAAGATGGAGCAACAACTTCAATTACAAGTCAGGCTTTCAGAAGACAAACTGTTCACTTTTCTCTTATTCCAAAGAGCTGATCAGTAGTGCATGAGGGAGCAAATGCATTGCTGGATATATTTACAGACTGTAGCATAATTCATTTTAAATAACTTTCTTAACTAAAAGAAGGTAGCTTTAAGGTTGTCACAAAGAAAGGAATCATTGTCTAGTGGTTGAAGGCACGGCTACTACTTCCCTACGTCATCTTGGGCAAGTCACTTCACCTCTCCAGCTCTCAATTTTCCCATCTCTAAAACAGGCATGATAATATTTACCTACGTCACTGGTGGGGTGGAGGATGAAGCTCAGTTAATTTATCTATAAATTGCTTTATGAGCCCTTGATGAAAGGTGCTATATTAAAAGTTCAAAGTATTATAATATTAAAATATAATAATGAATAACAATATAGCAAATATAAAGCAGTTTTCATGAGAGGATCTCAAAATACTTTACAAAAATAGGGTCAGGATCACTATTTCATTTTGCAAGTGGAAACTATCTTTTGTGTTTTTCCAGCAGCTAGCACAACTAAGCCCCAAACCTGAGAAGGGCCTTTAAGTACTACTGTAATAATGCAAATAAATAATAATAATAGTGAAAGTATGAATACAGAAAATGTTAACCCGGCTGGATCAGATTAATTGAATCTCTGGAACAGAACACCATGCCATGCTCAAAGCACAGACTGTTTTGAAGGGGGGGAAAAAAAATAAGTAGACCACATCAACTGGATATTTTGCTAACCAAAACACAGACTTGCATGTCATGCATGTGTGTCAGACAGAGAAAGAGAAAATGAAAGACTTCAGATTTTGTGTAACGGCCACTGACCCAAGGTTTTGAAGAAAATTTGTTGTCCTTTTATTTATAAAGTAATTAAAAATAATTAACTTGGGTGCAGATGTTAAAAATGGACATAGCTGTGGATAAATAGTTAGCATAATATTAAACCATACTAGCACCACAGGAAATGGAACAATTTCTAGCGTGGAAGAGGAGGTGGATAGATTTGGTGACCTTCTTCCTTGTACCATGTATAGATTCCCTGAGATGGTCACTGACTCTCTTCCATTCTATCCTTACTTCTCTTTCCATTTTTAACTGTGCCTTTGTTGTGAGAAGTCAGAACAAAAATAAGAGTAGGACATATCTGAATCTTGGGTTCTTGTTTTTAAAGATTACCAGAAAAGTGCAAAAAAGGTTTAAGCCTCTTATTGTGCTTCATTATTGTGTATGAAGACTATCAAAGAGCTTTTAAAATATTTTGTTCTACATAATTACAATAGAAAGTGCAGATCTTTTTGTTGGAAGATTTCAGCAAGATTTCTGGAAGTACGATATCACATGAGGTTGTAACCTTAAGTGCGGCTCTCCCTCTACACAGCTGAGGGGAGGGGAATATTCTCAGTCTTGAAAGGGGAAGAGAATAGGGGTTGCCTAGTCTTAGGGTACATCTACACTGTAGCTGGGAGGTATAATTCCAGGTTGCGTAGGTGTATACACGCTAGCTTTGATGAAGCTAGTGTGCTAAAAACCACAGTGTAGCTGCAGTGGTGCAGGCAGTGACATGGATTAACCACTCGAGTACTTCCTGAGGGTCACAAACAGGACTGCACTCGGGCAGCTAGCCCGTACTGCCATCCACATTGCCACAGGTAAACTGTTGTTAGATTGTTAATAGGCAGCAGATTTAAAACAAACAAACAAAAGGAAGTATTTTTTCCACACAACTCACAGTCCACCTGTGGAACTCTTTGCCAGAGAATGTTGTGAAGGCCAAGACTATAACAGGGTTCAAAAAAGAACTAGACAAGTTCATGGAGGATAGGTCCATCAATGGCTATGAGCCAGGATGGGCAGGGATGGTGTCTCTAGCCTCTGTTTGCCAGAAGCTGGGAATGGGCGACAGGGGATGAATCACTTGAGATTACCTGTTCCATTCATTCCCTCTGGGTCACCTGGCATTGGCCACTGTCGGAAGACAGGATACTGGGCTAGATGGGC